ATGAATTCAGAGTAATCTATTGAAAAGAAGATTGTTATTCAAGCTATTGAAGCAGTTCGCTATGTGATTTAGCAGAGCAAACCATGTTGTTACACGATTTCCATCATTTATCGTATAATCACGAACTACTTATTAATTATTTATGTGATTTGCAAGTGTTGCGACGAGAAATTGTGACCCCTACGCAAAGTAGAAATATTTATTAATTTGCCTTACTAAATTAATGAGTCTAGAATACACTAAAAATAACAGATACCGAAAAGATTAGACAGACCCCTATGCAAGGTAGAAAGTATATTAAATTGAATATTTATTAAATTTTCGTCTTACTAAATAAGTAGAAGCATTAAAGCACGTATTTTCTGTTTCTACAATAGATATTAGCTATGTTATAGGCGGGGGGAGGGGCTCCGCCCCTCCCTTCTGCACCCCCCTCCCCGCCTGCGCCAATACTACCTACTGGAGGGGGCTTCGCGTCCCCCAACCCCCCCATTGGGATTATTTCTTTTGTTACTTTTTTTGTTAATAACTTTTTAGCGAATAACGAGCGACGGCTAAACCTTCTTGATAGTCACTCCTTAAGAGTCAAGATTAAGGTCAAAGTCAGCCAGAAGTCATTTGGGGCTGACTGTGTAAAGGTAAACATTTACCGCCATGACGGTTACAATGGTTCTGATACGCAGAGAGAGAAAACATAACATAAATATTAGGTACCCTCTCTCCATACATCCAACATAAAGGAAATAAAAAACTCATTATTGTATAATATCGAAATAAATTAAATCAAGGAGTTTAATGGATAAATATTTACTTTTACACCTTCAGCCTCAAATGATCTTGACCTTGATTCTCAAAGAATTTCATTCTCAAGGAGATCACTGACATTTTCGGTGTTTATCAAAAAATTATTAACAAAACAAGTTATACATTTTTGAAACACAATTTTTGGACACAAAGTATATACTTCAACAGTAGGAGTTGGACCTTATTTCACGTGTGTCTTGCATAATTCGATGTATATATATGTTAAGATTAAAACTCAGAATAATAACATTGAAAAGGAAATTATTGTGAGATCCACCCCACATTCATCCCTGTGTACGGACGCAACAAAATCTATAATTGTACTGATCCACATGGGTTTTCGATTTTTCAATCTCAATGTCTATTAAATCTTCGTCTTACTATATGGATGAGTCTATAATATACTAAAAATAATAGATATCGAGTAGTAGTAGTAGTAGTAGTGGGTAGTAGTAGTGGTAGTGGTAGTGGTAGTGGTAGTGGTAATGGTAGTGATAGTGGTAGTGGTAGTGGTAGTAATAGTGGTAGTTGTGGTAGTAGTGGTAGTAGTGGTAGTAGTGGTAGTAGTGGTAGTAGTGGTAGTAGTGGTAGTAGTGGTAGTAGTAGTAATAACAAGATGAATGGACCTATAAACGGCTCTGACGTCATCTAGATCTAAAAAGTTCTTTTGTGACTCCCCGTTGGTTTATAATGTTGGTTGGTTGGTTTATAAGGTTGGTTTATAAGGTACAACAGCAGTTTCAGATTGATGTCCGACGCCAAGTTTATGAAACTGCCCACCATCATTTCTTTAAGATCCTTGGGCTTTAATCATATAGTCTCAGGATTTGTATCTTTTGCAAACAAGTGCAGGAGAATGAGTAACATATGTAAGCCGTCCTCTCTCTCTTTCCCGCATAATCTACTTTGAGACGTTAAAGGAAATTCTTTGAAAACGGGAATTTCTTGGAAGAGGAGGGAGATACTTAAGGACACAGGTTAGACATTTGCAGCAGTATGCACAGAGATATATGCCGCGAGCGCCGCCCTTTAAAAGTCCGGAAATGGGTCAACGTTTTAAAAGGACGCTATGACTCCGTTCGTTGTCCTAATTTTGGGTCAAGGAACTTGATCCCTTTAGTACAGTAACCCCTATGTAAGCCAACACAGATGTTGGTGTGTAATAATTTTGCAATATCCAGCCATATGAAGGATTTTCTCGAGAAACTCCATGCTTGCTGTAGAGGTCGTATTTAGCTCTATAGTTGAAGTGAAACAGGCGGGAGAAGAAGTGCAAGGTTCCTCTAGAAGATTCATGGATGGATAGGACGGAGAAGGAAATGATAGTGCTACTGACGGAGTCCACAAAGGAATATCCGGAAATATTTGTTAAAACGGATAACAGAGGGAGAACGAGGGATCCGAGTAAACTAAGAGATGTGACTCTGGAGTCAAGATGTTAACACGTTGGTACAACGGAAAAAGTCCACACGGCTAAAGACTGAGGTTCGTGACGCGCATCAACTCGAAGAAATAAACAGTGTAGAAGAGCAATTGCGTGCAAGTCCCGCAATATCGCAGATTATATAGGAGTTTTCCTAGGATATGGGACGTGTTAGATTGAGGGGATTTTAAAGTTTTAGTTGGTAAATCCCTTTGACCAAGATGCAGCTCTAAGTTTCTTAACTGGTTATTGAATAATACTATTAATTTAATTTAATTACGCGTTATCCCACACATCTTCCGAGTTTTTGGGTCTCTAAGACTATTTATTTTTGGACAAATTTGTTTATTTAAAAATTTTTGGGCTTTGGTTGTCTATAGGCGGACGCGATCTTCGATCTTCTAGAAAAAGGGAATGTGACTCATCACCCTCTAAAGGAATCTTCTTATGTTTATGATCCTCTTAAAATTATAAACAGAAGACCACGTCGCCAAGGGAGCGCTCCGTTTGACCACGTTAATATTGGTCATCGTTTTGATTGACCACATTGTTATTGACCACGTTGCTATTGACTACGTTAATATTTACCACGTTGAGATTGACCAGAGTTCCGATTGACTATTGTCCCGATTGACCATCGTCCCGATTAGTCACCGTCCCGATTGACCACGGTTCCAATTGGCCACCGTTCCGATTGGTCACCGTCCCGATTGGTCACCGTCCCGATTGACCACCGTCCCGATTGACCACCGTCCCGATTGACCACAGTCCCGATTGACCACTGTCACAACACAAGTTACAATATTTTACTCGAAGCGAGGTTTACTCCACATCAAGAGATGATTTGGATTAGGTTCGTTTGAAACGAGATGGGGCCCCCCGTAGGGGGCGGCGTGGAACATACTGCCTCTACGCTTGTACTTTGCAACGGAAAGCGAAGTTCCAC